AAAGATTTTTGCATTCATGCAAAGCTAAATATTCCAAATAGCCATAAGAAAAATGTAGCTCACTAATTGTTGTTTTTGCAAGTGGACTTTAACCAATCAAAGAAATCCATTTCAAAAAACTATTGGTTAAAATTAGGGGAGTTGAATTCATTCCAAATGTTGATGGTAGTTGAACATTCTTGAAAGATGTGACCAACAGTTTCATTTTTTTGGTTACAAATTGAGTAAAAATTAGTCAAGACTTGAGATAATCCCAATTCCCATAAGTTAGGATCTAGTAACAACTCTTTTGTAGGCAAAACATCCAAATGAAATGCTGGATCTTGGCATAACTAGAGGCCTTCCAAACCTATCGCATTATGTGCTATATTTGCATTTATATACAACAATCTTCCTAGTTTTCAACAAGAAAAGAATCTAACTAAAGATCAATAGGTTTCTCTCCAAGTTAAACTGAAGATATATGTAGTTCATAATTTATACTTGTTTAGGTACATAAATAATTATGTTAGAATTTGGCCTTCGCTAGGTCGAGATTGATTTTTTTTGTTAATTTTTTATTTTTACTACAGTTATTATAATTTTAACATAAAAACAAAAAATAACTTCAACACCCCCAGTTCAACAACATAACTTTATTCTAATTTGGATTAACTTTTTTGTGTTTATTTTAATTGTAATTTATTTGATTCTTTGAAAAAATATTTATACTTTAATATTTGAAAAATATTTGTTTTAATTTAAAATTTTATAAAAAATAATTTCTTCTAATAGGACAGTTCAAGTATACATTTTTGTTATATGTGAAATATTCACATTATGTTTTTTGTATTATTGAAAACTTATTTTAAATATATTACTAGAATATTCTATTTTGTCAACTTTGATTCAAAAATCACCAAAATAAAAAATATATATAATGGTAAATTTCAATAAAATCATAGTATAGTGAAAAATTTTAATATTCAATTATAGTATTACAACAAAATTTTCCTTTATCTTAGAAAGCCCTTCTACCATAATTGATCAAAATTATGATAATATTCTCCTATCATAATTATAGAAATGTCCATATAATTACTTAGTAAATAGTTGACATGTGCATTTTACTATCAACAACATATATTAAAACAATCTATTTGAAAATACTATAATAGTCCTCTGATATTATGTCGACATCAAATTTTGTTTGAAATTTACTATAATACCCCTATTAAATTACATATTAAATGTTATATAATATGTTAAAACAATTGTTGTAAAAATTACTCTAATGCCCATCTATTTATTTGATATGATGTTGTCATGTGTTTAAATTTGCTACAATGTCTTTTTATCATAATTATAAAAATATTGCTTTTTTCATAATTAGTCAAAATTATTGTAATGCACTTCTACCATAATTAAATAAATGCTTCTCTTACCATAATTAGGTAAAATTACTATAATGCCCTTCTATCATAATTACAAAAATATCCATTTTACCATAATTGGCTAAAATTACTATAATACTTCTTATACTGTAATTACATAAATATCCTTATGAGTGCTTCATAGAAAGTTGACATGTGACTTTTGTTTTAAAATTACTATAATAACATTTTAAATTACATATTAAATTTTAACATAATATAAAATTAACTACACAGTAAATTAGTAAAATACCTTTGCCTTATTTTATACAATTTGACACATGATATTTTATTAAAAATAATCAAAATTAAATGATCAAGTAAGCTAAATAAATATAATTTTTATTAAAATAAAAATTAAATAATTTATATTCTAAAATAAAAATATTTAATCTCGACGTAGTAGGAGCTACACACTAATTCTTGCATGAAAATGAATAGAGGGCTAAAATTATTATAAGTTATTGGTTTTAAATAGGTTAAGATGGGATCACAAATATAAAAACTCAATATCAATTATTATCAAATCAACATTCAAATTCAAAATCACTTACGATAAAAAATTGATAACCAAATAAATTAACTACTTGCTATCATTCAGAGTTTATTAATTTGATCTTACTTAATCCAATTCCAAATTAAACATCTTGAAACTAACTAATTATATCTTCATCAACTTTTCTAAAATGCAAACTAGCTAGTGTTCTTTTAAGTTAAATAGGGGTAATAATGGTTTAAATCAGATTTAGTATTTTTATAATGCATAATGTTATGGATTTTCAAAATTCGATTTGAATTTAAATTGATCTTCCCTTAAAACTAATTCGATCTGAATTGAATTTTTTTGGTTTGGTTCAGTTTATTGATTTTTAAAATTTTTTTATATTATTTTAATATAAGTTTTAATATATTTAAATAGATTTAAATATAAAATAATTATTTTTATTTTATAAAAATTTAATATATATAAACTAATAAAAATATATAAATTGGTTCGAATTGAATAATTTTGTTTTTCACTTTTCAATCTAAAATCTTATTCGAATCTAATAAAAATATTTAATATCTAAATTTAAATTGAACTGAATGCTACAATTTTAAATATTTTTTAACTTATGTTATTTTTATATAGATATTGATAAAAGAAATGAGAGAATAAAAGAAAAGCTTTTTAAAGGAAAAGAAATGATACATGTATTCCTTATTTAGATCGTGAAAATTAATAAAAGAGAGGAAATAAATCCTAATAGTAATTATTTGGATAAAGAGTGGAAAGAAAATAAAATAATTCATTATAATTTTTTTCTAATTATAACTTTTTTTTGTATAAAATAACATATAATATTAAACAAAATAATATAAAAACTCACTTTATATTACCTAGCTTGTATAAACAAATGATTTTTATAATGATCACTCGTTCATAAGTCATTTGTTTACAAATTTCAAATTTCATTTTCTGAAATTTGACCAACGCGAATGTTGAGCATTTTATAAATAATATTTAAATAAGTATATTAACAATCATTTCAAATCTTTCTTAAATAAATTCACCTTCTTTGTTATTTTTTATTTTTTTTAAGTTCTTTTATTCATTGAACCATTCAAAAGATCAAAAGAATTTCTAGATTGAACCCCAAGATATGTCTAGTTATTATTTATTAGCTATAACAAATGTCAATGAAGTCATGTTTAACTATCATCAACTTGTTCATTCAAAGTTAAATCACCAAAATATTGATCCATCGATAATTTAAAAATTGAAAAAGACATGCATGCTATATCACGCTTTACGTGCCAAATATAATTAAATTAATTGAAAAAGTAAAATAAAAAGTAAAAGTATGTTAAGCATAAGGTATATTTAGTCGTTTTATTCAACCATAAAGCAATTTTCTTCAACATAAGACCAAAATTGGAACAAGTTTTATTGCAAAATTTAATTTAGAAGCTATAGGCTATAGGATCAAACATAAAAAAATGAAAAAAAATGAAAGTAAAAAAAATAAATGAAAAATATAAATCAAACTTACTTGAAAAAAAATATGATAAAAAAAGAATGATAAAATGGTCATAAGTGATGCGGTTAGTTTTTTATCTATATTGTGTTAATAAAAAAATGAACTTAATAATTTTTTCAAACTTTTCTTGATTTTTTCACCAATTTATTGTATTAAAAAAAGTTAGGGATACAAAAGAAACAAAAAATTGTTAGGTTTTCATCTCTTGCCCTTTCCTCTATATTTCTTTACTTTCCCTCTCATCTCCTCCATCCAAACATAGACTTAAACACTACTGTGGGTACAACCAACAGGGTTTTTGGCCGTCATAAAAGAAAGCACGTGGTCAAGCAATTAGAAATTTTGAAAGCTGAAAGAAATGGTGCACCAACTTACTTACACTTCTTTTGGACTGATAGGTACAGTGATGGAACGATCAGATAGAAAACAAAATATATGTTATCTCAACAGCGACCGTTTGTTTTTTTTCTTCATGAAATGTCAATTTCATGATGGTCCAAGTTGCAGTCATAATTGAGTGGGCAAATTTGTGACAACCACTTTTGATATCTGTTCCTGGTGCAGATATACTTGATGATGGTGGTGGAGATTTGAGGGGTGAAAACTGAAGGAAAGGGTTAAGCAAAAAACAAAATGGATATTTCCGTCACTCAAGGAAACTGTGATATGAATATACAACACGACACCAGTTATAAATTGTCTTCAGACAAGAAGTGGGTAAAGCAACTGAAATTCAAGTGCCTGTCAATCCTTTTCCTGGGTTTGGGGGGTGAGCATTATTAGCCATTCATTGCTTGATTTATACAATCGAGCAAAAACACACATTATCTCATCAGTAATGTCATCATCACATACATATGGTAATGTAAACATGGCATAGATTACTGAACTTTTCATGAAACCAGCATATTACGAACGTGAGGACAAAAAATTAAGCAAATCTGACGTTGTTATTAAATTATGACTATATGCTTATTGAATACTTGCATGAAGCTTGATTGTTGAAGGCTTGCATAGAAATTCTAAGGGTAGAACCATCTCAGCACGCAATCAGTACAGTGATTAATGTGCTACAGCTGAACTAATTAGCAAGGTTGGAGTTAGAGATCAAGACTTTTAACAGGCCACATAATGCATATCAATGTGCTTTGATTATAATCGAAAGTATGCTAAAGGGAGTATAATGTGCAATGTTTCTATAGTACTTAGTATAATATTGTTTGAATCGCAAAGAAAAGAAGAAAGATGAAGAGAAAGGCATCTCTTGGTAGCCTTTAAACCATGCATGCGGCTGGCAAATACAAAGAGAAGCCTAGCTCCAAACGAGCTATAATTAACAGTCTGTCCATCACCTAACCTCCAATCCCATAAATTCATGCCACCTACAAATTGCAAACCTTTAGTGGCTTTGGCATGGGTCTTATTCCATGGTGCATTTTATTAATGTGTGGGTGCCATATGTGTTGCATAATGATTAGTCACTGTCAAGGAGCCTCCTGCTCAGTGACAATTATATAATTTTCAACAATCCAAACGTGGGGATGTTTCTTAAAATTAAGGATATTGCTTTTGAGAAAAACTAAGGAGTTGTATTCCAATTTTCTAGATAACCCATACTGCTCTGTTACAGCAATGAAGGAGCATGTGGCTTTTCCTTTATTACTCTTTATCATGTATGACAGCGAAGGACTAGACATGTGGAAGTGATAGGACAATAATTAAGCTACCCTTAATGAGTAATGCTTAATTATTCTTTACATTATTAGCTAGGTACTAAAACAACATTACATCTGTTTGATTTCATGGTTTGATCGAACTTAGCTCTACACCAGGTTCAGATTTCTCTTCTTTTTCTACATTGTCATTGCCCTTGTAACGATAGTGATGAACAACATAGAGGAAATAAAGGAAATTGAGGGCCCCCATCCCCGCGAGAAGGTAGTAAAAGTAATCCAATCTGCCAGCATCAATATCACTTGTCAACCAGTCAGGACGCCCAGGCCCTCCAGTGACATGATGCACAATATTGACTACAACGCTGCTCAAGTAACTTGCACCAGCCAGGGAGCAAAAGAGAAAAGAATTACCAATGCTTCTCATATGCTCCGGAAACTGCTCGTTGAAAAATTCAATCTGTCCTAGAACGTTGAATGCCTCACAGAAGCCCATGAGAATAAGCTGAGGAGCTAGCCAAAAGACTGATATTGGTGCAACACCAGGATGAAGTATAGCTGATGTCCTTCTCTTCTTTTCCATCACTCCTGCAACGATCATCGCCAGAATAGAAAAAAAGATGCCAATTCCAACTCTTTGAAGAAGCGTTATCCCACCTTCACGTTTGGTGAATTTTCGAAGAGCTGGAACAATAATTCTGTCATAGACTGGGAGGAAAATTCCAATTGTGAGCATCGATATGATCCCAACGGAAGCAGCTGGGATTTGGAACTTGGGGCCAAGATGCCTGTCCATTTTCAAAGCCTGTGACAAAGTGAATGTTCCCTGTTGTGCCACGGAGGTAAAGCTAATGATTCCAGAAGCCCAAATTGGGATGATTCTGATAATGCATTTTAGCTCTTCTACATCTTGAATGCTGCACAGCCTCCATTTATTAGGGGAACCATCGGGCTGTAATTCATTCTCCATTATTATGGTGGCCTTGTTTAAGAACCTAAGAGAATAAAACAAACAATTAAATTTAGCATTAGAAGCAAGTAGAAGTTCAAGTTCGTATAATTAACTTTTACATCTATGACAAAAGATATCCCACCCAAAATGAATAGCCAAGAAATGATGGTAATCTTACATCTATGAAACTTCCACTTTTGTTAATTAACTCAATAATTAATAAATGCTTGTAGTATCTTTGGTGATGATAAGACGGGTCACCTGAACTGGTTGGTGAGGGGTAGCTTTGACAACACATTTTCCTTTAAAGGCGGATCATAAAAAACTCCCATTTCCTTTCCCTCTTCTGGAAGCTTAAGCAGTCGTTTCTTGTAAGCTGCAACAACCACTTGCACAATACTCGAAAATATACTTCCTTGTGGCTTAACATGGAAATAAATTCTTGTTCCGATGAGAAACAGAACAATTGAACTGCCCATGAGCAGAGTAGGAATTCCAAAGCCTAGAACCCAGCTTACTGAGTTTTGAATATAAACCACAAGAGTTAGGGTGAGCAATATCACCACTGTGAACGTGGTGTAATACCAATTAAAGAAGCTGCTGATCCCTTTCAACCCTTCTTCAGTGGTTGCATCAAATTGATCAATTCCAAAGGGAATGCTGCAGGGTCTTATTCCAGCCGTGCCTACTGATAACAGACCTAACCCTGCTATTAGAACCGCCAATTGAGCATTGTTTGGACCGATGCAGTGACCCTGCGGTTTCTGTTTAGGTTTGCACTCTGGAGGATGTAGGTGTGGGATCCAAGCCGTCAAAGTTAAAGTCAACATTCCCTGTCAATGTAAAATGTAAATTACGACTTTTTCATTTGATAATTATTAATAGTAGTAACATTTAGCTATTTACTATCCCTTTGAATATATTCAACAGAATAATTGATAATAGAAGGCAAGGCATCCTCGCTGTTGAGATATAATTTTAAATACATATTTTCGGGTCTAACATCAAGATAAAAAAATCCCACCTAGACTATATTATAAATAGGATATTGCTAATATTTTTCTTTTTTTGGGGGGGCTGGGGGAGGTTGATTCATATGGCTACTACTTTATTATACACAAAAATAGCATATCGCTACTATATTAACCTAACGCAAGAAGATATATTACTATATTTGTCGCACTCACATAATTCGTTTAGGATTTGCTGTTGCAATAAATATGCTAAACCCAACTAATGCATTCAATTCAACGCTATATGTAATTAATTACTATATGTCACAAACCACATGATTGTGGCAGAAGATTTAGCCCCACTTTTAGCCCCAACGTCACATGCATATTTCTTTGCTAGCAGCTGAGACTTTTAATTATAATTATTAGAATTTAAATAAAAAAAGAAGTCTTACAAGTAAGACCAAATCTCCCCCCTCTAAAAAAAAAAAAAAAGAAAGAGAGGGAGAGGGGCAAATGAGATTTTTAATCCGCCAGCGATGGAGTGCGAGAAGCAAGATTAAATTTGTTTCCGAAGACTATTACGTGATAGCATTAGAAATTAATAGTAGGATGATTTGATTTTCTCCGTAATTATATACTAATAAAAGTGTTTGCTTGAAGATATAAAAGCAAACAAAATGTTCTATAAATGAAAGCAATCGTCATCAGCTTAGTTTCGCATGGTCTTCTTATGACTTTGGAAGTGGGGAAATCATACCCACTCAAGAAAAATAGGGATTTTAATGAAAATTCTAGCAGCCGTGGCCCTTAATAATCATATCAGTTATTTCCTACAGTGGTCGATTAGAATAAAGCAGTTAGTCAGTGAGAAATTAAACATACCAGAAATGAAGCAAAGGACGCGACTGTAATTGTTCGAAACCTCCCCGCATAAGCATCAGAGATAAAAGCACCAACCAGAGGTGCAAAATTGGTTACACCTGACCAGATGTAGAGGACATTTGAAGCAGACACCTGATCCATGTGAAACTCATTCATCAAATACACCATAAAATTTGCCAACAGCCCAAATGTTGCCAGCCTCTCGAACGTTTCATTTCCTGCCACAGGGACACACTTTTCTATGTTAGCTAAACTACAACTCCAGAACAAAACGAACTAATAGCATTCATTCCTTAGAAGGAGAGAAACTAAACCTAATATGTATGGCATAGCTTTCCATCCTCCAGGCTTCTTCTGGTTTGTACTGGCCGAGCCCGAGACTGACAAAACATTTCCCTTCGTTCCTTGTCCTGGTTTCTTTTCCAGGGATGCCGGTTTCTGGAAGTTTTTTGTGCAGCAATATAGCAAAAACGACCTGGAATCCTCTTTGATGCTCTTGATTACCATGTTTTTTTTCTTTTTTTGGGCTAAGCTAGCTTTTACCATATGTGTCTTGGGTTTCTTCTGAAATCATGTGAAATTGGTGGGTTTGAACTGGTTATCTTTAAAGTGCCAAACTTCTATATAAATAGATGCGTCTGCACTAAAAGGAGATGGGAATGATTGAATGGCTGACGAAATCAAGGAGTGGAAAAGGCCGCCACATGCACAAACAAAATAGGACAAAACTTCAAACAAGTTATTTAAAGTTTGTAATCTCTTCTTTAAAAAGATAATTGTCATAACATCTAGATCCGGGGATCTATCGCTAGACATTGATTTAAGGGAGTCACCACCAATATTTTTTATCTAGATGCGATTGGCCACCTAAAGAATCTATCCTTTCAGGGAACACCTAAGTTTAAGGGTCCCTAAAAAAATAGGTTCAGGTCTACTAACCAGAACAAGGTTCGGGAGTTTGGTTACGTGTAAGGAAGGTTATAGCACCCTCACAACGCCCATCAAAAGATGGTACCAACTTAAATTTGTGTTATCCAATGAGCCTTAAAAATTTACCAAGTGATTAATTATTAGAAATTATTCTCAATTTACTCTAATACTTTTAGCAAAAAATTGAAAAAATTCTCTCACCTCAAGAGTATGCAAGAAAACTACTGTTTCACTTACAGAGGCTCCATCGTCAGATTATTTAAAGAAAAAAAATAAAAATAAAAATAAGAATAAAAATGAAGAAAAGAATGATTGTTCATGTGCAGGGAAAATTGATACTTTCAACTTTTTTCTAAAAATATTCTTTTGAAATTTTAATTTCGAGAAAAATTGATACTTTCAACTTTTCCTCAAAAACTTTTTTTGAAATTTTACTTTCAACTTTTCCTCAAAAACCTTTTTTGAAATTTTATTTTTAAAGAAAATTGATACTTTCAACTTTTTCCCAAAAATATTTTTTTGAAACTTTGATTTTCAAGGAAAATTGATACTTTTAACTTTTCTCCAAAAATACTTTTTTGATTTTTATTTAAAGAAAATAGAATAATAAAACAAAATAAAAGTGAAAATAAATAAATAAATAAAATAAAAAAAGTAAAAAAAAATAAAACAAAAATAAAAATAAAATAAAGATAAAAGAATATTAAATAAACCTAATATAATAAATAAAAATAAATAAATAAATAAATTCAAAAAAAAAAACCTTGAGCGGCTCGGAGTACGACTCGGCTCAAGAAAGAGAAACGGCTCGGAGAAACAGCTTGGGACGTCAGCTCGGCTCGACTATCTGCTCAGAGGGGGGAAGACACGGGCGGGTCGAAAGCGGGTCGACGCTCGGGTCGGGTTAGATCTCGGTAAAATGCGCTGATCCTTTGGGTCACTTAAGGTAAAAACGGTATCGTTTTGGGAGGGTATATAAGGCTGTTTCCTTCATTTTTCGACAAAAACCTTCTCTCATCTCTCTCTCTTCTTTCTTTTTTCTCTCGTTTCTCTCTAAAACGGTCGAAGAACTCCAGTTAAATATTCATCAGATTCTAGAATTTTTCATCGAAATCCGGGTTTTTCACCGAAAGTTCACCGAAAAATTGGTCGGTTTCTGGGATTCTTCACCGAAAAACTGGGCATCTTGCCGAAAACTTCCAAATTAGCCAAAATTGTCGCCGAAAAATTCAACCTTGGTCGAAAAAATCATCGAAATCTAGAAAATTTTCAAAGATTTTCAGAAAAAATTTTCGCCAAAAATCTCCAAAAAATCTTTTCGATTCTCACAGCTATTCTAACATTTCTTAACCTTCTTTTAGCCTTCAAAAATTTTCTATACACTTTTTTCTCTCAATCAGTAGCCTTTGTGCTCACTGTTTTCCTCTATGTTCTTTCTTCTGTTCCAGTACCTATTTATAGGGATTGATCAGAAGAGTTTCTGATCAATCCCTATTTCTTTTTGGATGGAGATTCAATCTTTGAATCCAATCTAAATTCTAATTGAATCCCCATTCACGATAGGATTCTTCAAAGATCAATCTCAACCCAAAAAAAAAGAAAAAAAAAAGAAATTTGATAAACGAGAAAAAAAAATCAGATAAACGAAAAAAAATAAAAAAAATATAACAGATAATTAAAAATAATAATAAGATAAATAAAAAATATTACAAGATAAATAAAAAACAATAATAATAATAAAATAAATTATAATAATAAATATATAACTAGATAAATAAAATGCATATATAGATATTAACAAAAAAAATGAATAAATAAATAAAGATATACATATATTAATACATAGTAATAATAAATAAATAATAAATACATAAAATACAAAAGAAAGGAAAAAAATAAAAATAAAAATACAAAATAAAAATCAAATTGGGCTTACCCATTTGGACCAGGCCCAATTGATCCGGGCCTGGACCAAATTGGGTGTCTACAGCTGCTCCTCTTTGCACATTTTCTGTGAAACAGAAATTACGCAAAGACGTAGACACCCAATCAGGACTCAACTCGACCTTTTTACCTTTTTTATTATTATTTTTTTTATCAAAGCTCCTCTAGGTAGAGGCTCAATGACTTTGAGAAATATAAATGGCTCCTCTAATCAGAGGCTCAACAACTTTGGAAAAATAAATTACTCCTCTAAATAGAGGCACCACGACTTTGAAAAGTAAATTGCTCATCTAAATAGAGGCACCACGAATTTGGAAAGTAAATTGCTCCTCTAAACAGAAGCACCACGACTTTAAAAAGTAAATTGCTCCTCTAAACAGAGGCACCACGAATTTGGAAAGTAAATTGCTCCTCTAAACAGAGGTACCACGACTTTGAAAAAAGTAATTGCTCCTCTAAACAGAGGCACCACGACTTTGAAAAGTAAATTGCTCCTCTAAACAGAAGCACCAAGACTTTGAGAAAGTAAATTGCTCCTCTAAACAAAGGCACCATGACTTTGGAAAGTAAATTGCTCCTCTAAATAGAGGCACCACGACTTTGAAAAGTAAATTGCTCCTCTAAACAGAGGCACCATGACTTTGGAAAGTAAATTACTCTTTGACAATCATGTCCAAAGGAGTTGAAAGTTATGTTTGAAGAAATTTCAGGAGATTATGCCCAAAGGTCTTATAAATCAACCCTGATACCAAAAGACATCCTATTTCAAGGATTAGGAACTTACCTGACAAGTTTTTTCTCAAATTTGCAAAATATCTTCATATCTGTCTTCTCTACGTGAGATGTTGGAACACCCTTGCTTTTTGAATTTATACACTATACTTTCCTGAAAGTACTGTATGCTATGCAATGCATATGAATTTCAATACATGCTATGCAAATGTTGGCCAATTAATTCCTATTCAATGTATGGTACTCAAGTTTCTCAAGCTTTTGTTTTTGGCATCAAGCTTTTTGATTCTTCAAAAATCCAATTACACTGCTCTTCTAAGATCGAACCAGTGTAGCTCTCAATTGTCTTTTCCACTCACATTCTTCCTTGTTCAGTTTCTCAATACTTTGGAATAAGCTTCATCAATCGATCATCACTTGACCATCATTCAATGAATTTTTCAGCACTAACAAATTTCAAAACAAGTTTCATCCACCATCACTGGGTTATCACTCATAGGTGTCTCAACATTAACCATTCCAAAACAAACTTTGTCCACTGATTGTTCTCATCATTCAATCATAACTTGCAAGTTATATCGACCAATTCATCCTTGTACTCATCATTTGGTTATACCACTTTTTAAGATTTACCCCATTATATTCTTCATTTGATCACATCATATATCTTTCCAAATCATCTCTTTTAGGTTTCTACCATTTCTTCATTTTGTTACCACCATCATCTTAGATTTCTTTTCAAATGAATGCAATATTCTTTTAAACACATATTCATTCATTCATTATCATTTCAAATCTTGACAAATACAATGTAATCAAGCATTTTCTCAATTCATTCTAGGGGTGTAACAATAAGAGAACACAAGGTGAATTATGGTAAAGATAATCAATAAAGATCTATTTTGGCACAAAATAAATGGGAAAGGAAATAAATTAGATACATGTCATTAGGATGAATGGTATGTCCAAATGATGAATATTCAAACAATTCTCAACATTAATCTAGGATTTTTTTTCAAAAACTCATTCCATTTACTGTTGAAGTCATCTTGAGCTTGGTGAATTTTACCCCAGTCTTTGAGGGATCTTCAGATGTCTTCCATTCATGTGAGCCATTTAACCTGGATCTTTTTCCACTAAAATCACCCTTTCAGGTTTTCAATTTGAATCTCTTTTTTCATTTTCTCATTTTTTCCTTCTTTTTTTCTTTTTTTTTATCATCTTTTTTTTTTTCATTTTTCATCCATTATTGATATCTTTCATACATCAAACTTTAGAGCAATGTAGCATGATTCCATTACTTCATCATGAGCATACCTTCGCTCAACATATGATCCTTCAAGTTGAGTATTCATACTTGATCCAAATAGATTTTTTAAGGTTGTAATGTAGGCCAAGGTGAAAGGTCATAAAAAAATGGATATAATAGGCTCAAAACATGTATTAAAAAGGTTCAAAACCAAAGGATCATTTGATACAACTTGGCATTTTGCTTCACATCGTTTCACTATTTTTTCTTTCCTCACACAAAAGATTCTCATTACTTTACCTCAAGTCATGTGTGGCATTTATTTATTTATTTATTTTTTTTTTCATTTTTGAGACCTTTTGTGATTTTTTCAAAAATTGCCCCCCAGTGTAGAGGGTGATCCTTGGTTGGGGTTCCTCCGAAAAAAAATCATAATAGGCTCAAAGGGGTAGCAATAAATGGTTTTTCGAATGGTAAAAGAAAGATGGTCATTTTTCATCTCAATTGTGAATACTTTTCTTGAACATCATCTATTGAACAAAGCTCATGATCCTGTATAAAAGATTACATATCTTCAAGACATGTCTCTTTCACCTCTGGTAATCATCTCCTCATATTAATGTGGATGAGTTCTCAAAATTAAATCTCAGAATTATTGTTATCATTGTCTAAATATTCATCATCCGAAATTTGAGAATGGGAGTATAAAGTTATGAAAGATAACAGAGCATGGAGTAAT